TCTCTCTCTCTCTCTCTCTCTCTCTCTCTCTCTCTCTCTCTCTATCTATCTATCTATCTATCTATCTATCTATCTATTTTACTCTTGTATTTGTAAGCCGTCTGGAGTCTTACAGGATTGGGCGGCATATAAATTTATTAAATTACAATTACAATTTAATTACATGCACGCTGCCCAGCTGACAGGGCAATGCCTCGCGTGCCTTGACAAATGGTTCCACGTGCCATAGGTTCGCCATCATGGGTCTAACTTGTTCAGTATTGTTGACAGAGGAATCATGCAATGACACACAGTAGTGGTGATCGTGAGTCTCCTTGTGGGGTTCCTGATATTTACCACTCCCAGTGTATTACCATTGACCAGTACTGTGATGTTGATTCTTGCACAAATCTTCCAGTGTTTCTACTGAATGTTATTATTTGTAGGCATTTATACAATCATGTGGCAGGAATTTGAGTTCTTCTTCTTCTTCTGCCATATCTGTCATCGGATGTTGGCGATCATGTTGGCAATTCTATTTTTGTCAACAGCCGCATGAAAAAGTGCTGCTGAGTTTTGTGCAAACCAGCCCCTTAGATTTTGAGGCCATGATGTTCTTCTTCTGCCTGGACCTTGTTTGCCTTCAATTTTTCCTTGGAGAATTAAGTGAAGGATGCCATATTTTTCTCGGTGTCGCATCACATGTCCTGAATATTCTAACTTTTGCTTTTAATGGCTTTGATGATTTCCCTTTGCTTTCCCAGATGGCTTATCACCTCCTCATTTGTAATTTTGTCAACCAGCTTATTCATAATAGCCGTCTGTAAATTCACATTCAAGTTTCTTCAAGTGGTTTTCTGTCAGAGAACAACTCTCTACTCCGTAGAGCATGATAGAAAAGATGTAACATCCGACAAGCCTGATTTTCAGTCTTAGGCTTATGTCATGACTGCAGAAGACCTTTTTCATTTTGAAGAATGCTATTCAAGCTTTTTCTATCCTTGTCTTTACTCCACTGATCACGTCCCAGCTTTCATGTAAATTAAAACTGAGGTGCGTGATCCTTTCAACTTTTTCTAGTGGTATTCCTTCTGAATTTATCAGTGGTAAATTAATGGGCTGTTTGCTGATGACCATGATCTTGGTTTTTGAGGTGTTAAGCTTCAAGTCGTATTTTTCAGATATTTCTGAGACTGTTGATGAGGAGCTGAAGGTCTTCATGCTTACTGGCAAGCAGAACTGCATCATCAACTTATCTTAAATTATTGATCTGAACACCGTTTACTTTGAGGCCAGCATCAATGTTTTCCAGTGTTTCATTGACAATTGACTCAGAGAAGGAACTTGAATGCCTTCTTGTAATCAATCCAAGCTATATTTTAATTGGGCTTCAGTTTTCATGTCCAAGGGAGTCCTAGAACTCATAGTCTCCTGATTTCTAGGTCAGTTCTATAAGCTACACTGAGCTGTCTTATGTAGTTAATAAAGTAATGTGTTTTGTTTTTTCCTTAACAGAATGAATGTTCTGACTGTACAAATCAGCACATTGAAAGCTTGCTCTGCACACCTATAAAAAATGGAAAGAAGAATAAAGTGATAGGTATAACATTTTGAAGTTTTCAATTATGCTTCAATTTGTGCACTTAGGTGGGATTTTATTGCCACTGGAAATTGAGAAAAAAAAGGTAATGTGTGAAGTTTCTAAGATCATTCTTCATCAACAACCTATCCTTGTACATAGCCACATGCAATGAAAACAACTGAATTTAGCGGTAAGGTGTCATAAGGACACTGACCTAAAATAGGTATTTTTGGAAAACAAGTGTCTAAATATAAATGTACTCTTCCAAATGAGATGCTTTGGATCAGGGAATTTGGGGCGACAGAAGAACGTCCTGGTTTGTGTAGAATTATGAAACAAACAATAGTAGTTTTCCTATAGGAAAAAATACTTCATTTTCTGCAAAGTGGAGCACCTAAAGTTAGCTGATGATGTTGGCTCAGTACAATTCCACCTGAGCAGTGGTTTCTGAAATTTAGAATGGTGTGGGCTGTGGCTTGGACCACTATCCTCTATGCCAACAATAAGGTTGGATTCAGAGAATCCTGAGTAGATGGAAAATAGTCACTAACACTATTCTAGAACTTAAAAGGTCATAGACCACTATTATCGATAAGATCAATTTATTGTACTATTAATAAACTTTATTTTAAAGAAGAAAACAACATGGTTGGACTTTTGTTTCACTTGTCCCATATTATGTGCTGCCTTAAAGTGCAATCAGTTCTTCTTTAATAAATTTTCTTATGAAAATGAAAGACATCTTCGGATCAAATATGCTTCTTTTATTGTTGTAAATCAGTGCTTTGTAGTGAAGCACTGTCATTTTTAAAAATAAAAATTTGTATTGTTCTGGTATCTTACAGATATTAAGCCACACACTTACAGTGGCAAGATTTACCCAGCTGTTTCTGAGAAACATTCAAGCAATGCTAGATAGCTGGTTTTTAATGCCCCAACCTCTCAGGGGTTTAGTTAGGCAGTTAAGGCTTAGGTGCTTTGGGTCAGGGTGAACAAAGCTCCCCCTTGTAGAATACAATTAATTTTACTTCTGAATACCATTTAATTATTTTGTTTTAGTGGTATGTATGGTTTTCCTTTTGTATAATGATTTGTACATTCCCCAGAGTCACATTGCTTGAGTTACATGGTCATATAAATATTCTAAATAAATAAGCAATAAGTTTTGAAAATGTAAAAATTAGCATGCATATAAGATTAGCATGAACAAAAATAAAATTAGCATAAATGGTCACTTGGTGATCCTATCTTATTCTCAACATCTTTGATGCCAGTAAAGTAATTAAAGTCTTGGACTAGGATTGAGGCTATCCAGATTCCAGTCCAGTGTCATTTATCAAAAATCACTGGATGACTTTGGATCAGTTATTCTTCTACGACTGGTATCATAGGTTGGTTCTGGGATAAAGGGAAGCCAGATCTCATATAAACACCTTGAAGTTATTGAAGGAAAAGAATAATATTAAATAAGCAAGAAAGCACTTGATATTTTAAATTTTAATTATTAAATCTTCTAATTTCAATAGCAGTTTTTTTCACTATTTGTATTTTGCCACTTGGTTTGTTTCTATGGGATGCTCATAACTGACTTTCATGAGTGTGTACGTGTACTTTCATTAGTAGTGTCTTTTGGGTCAGTGACTCACTGATGATATGGACAATTTCAGCCACTTTCTTAACAAAATACTTTTAAGCAGGACTTAAATTGAAAGGTGGTCAGTGATCTGTGATGAGTTCATGTATTCTTAGTTAAGCTACAATGCTATAGATTCTATAGATCTGTTGTACTTCTACATAATAGAGTTTCCAAAATAGATTCCTAAATGAAGAGAAGTGCTACGTTAAACACTCACTGTGAATGATGCCAAGAGACTTTCTTGAATGTAGCAGATAATTGGCCAGTTAATAAACTACTGATATTTTTTCTGTAGTTAAAATGCAGATTAATATGCAGATAATTTGCAATTTCCAAATAAGAATGCACAAGCCTGGGTGTGCTTACCTCATATTCATTACAGCATTTTGGCACGGTTATAAACATTTAATGAGTTTGTAAAGGACAAATTGTCTTTAGGGATTTCATCAAACTAAAGGTCTATTAATAGCAAAAGCCAAGAAGAAAATTAAGACTTGGGAGGGGTAGATATTATAATGTTCAGTTTGATGTTTTGTTTACAACAACCCCCTATGCCTATATAAGGAGAAGGAAGCACCATTGACTCAAATGAAGCTAGCTAATTTTTTTTTGAAGTATGTAAACCCATGAAGTATGTAAATATAGGAAGATTCAAAACTAAATTTCTACTTCCACATAACCTGAATTAATGTTCTTTAAAATGTTGTGGCTGACTAGCATAATAAGTAATTTTTGTTTGAATCCATAGACCATTTAAAAGTTTAAATGATAGATTTCTAATTATTCTTTCTGAGGAAAAAATACATTTTTAATATAAATGAGAGACTGTTACTGTTTTAACCATTCAGTTGTGTCTGGCTCTTGGTGACTTTATAGGCAAATGCTCTCCATGCTGCCCTATCAAGCATAGCTTCTTTTGGTTAAATGTATGATTAATGCTAACCAATTGCTTGCTTTTTCAAGGGTATCTTTTTGTTGTTGTTTCTTATTATGACTCAGGAGTTTGTCAACTTGCAAACAAGATGGAAGAAAATTCGGGCAAAATAAAAGCTTTCAATAGAAATGATGAACAGTTTTTGGAAGCTTTTGTTATCTTCTGTGGCTTAGGGATCCAGAACACTCAGATGTATGAAGCTGTGGAAAGAGCCATGGCAAAGCAAATGGTGACATTAGAGGTAAGAATAAATCAAGGCAGCCTTAATGTACTTTATTGGAATCCTTGCTAACTTTAAAGCAAGCCTCAGCTACCACCTAAGGCTCTCTCATATTGACTATGCTTCTGTATTTCCATGTGCTTGCACACACTTGTGGATTATCACTCTAATGGGAACCAGAAGCAAACTACTGACTTCCTTAAATAAATTGCATGTTGGTAAGTGTGACCAATGTAGGTGGTTTGTGTTCTTGCATTAAAAAAGACATGATTGTGTCACTGGAACATCTCTTTACTGTCTTTGGTTTCCTATGATGATTTTGGTCCATCCCTTCAAAGAAGTCAGACCTAGGATAACAAGAAGGTTACTGTGGGGTTCTTCTACACTACAGTATTTCATCATATTCATATTAAGGATGGGTGTCATCTTGCCTAGCCTTTTAATTTCCATTAAGTATAATGCACATGCTACCAAAAAAAAACAACAAGAAATCCTGATGTGCTCTTCATATCCTCCAAAATAACCTGAGAAATCAGATAATCTGGACCAGACATGTCAAACACATGGCCCACGGGCCAGATTTGGCCCACAGTAGGCTCAGAGTTGTCCTGTGGGGCCATCCCAGAGATGGTGAGAGACTGGTCCATGCCACCCATGCCCACCCCAGCCACACTCACCCAGTCGGCCACAAAGAATAGGCCAGCCCCCCAAAGGCAAACAAAATTCTGATACATCCTGCAATGGGATCGAGTTTGACACCCCTGCTCTAGACGTTGGCTATCTTTGCATCAATCTAGTAAAAAAAGTACAGTATTTCTAAAATTCAGATCCTATAATTGGTTCTGAAGGGAAAACTTACATGCAAAACTGCATTTAATACTATAATTTAATGCTATAATTCAATGCAATCTGATAGCATTGAATTACAGCATTCTTGTGCAAAATTGTGTGAAAATTACTTGACCTTGAAATATCTTGAGTGTATTGTGCTCTATCTATTCAGATGGTTTAACATTTAAGGAAAAATATATCCTTATGAAAAAAAAATGTGCTATAGATTGAGATTATAATTTCAGTTGCATAAAATGCCAGTTAAATACAAATCCAACTCAAAAAGTAAAATTCTTCTCTCCTGCACTCACAGCTCTAAATAATTCTCATTTTGTTCAGTAAATTAAAAATATTTTCTCTTACACAGGCAAAACTTCTGCCAAGATTTTCCTAAGACAGAATTTCTTTTATGCCCTGCCTTATGGAACCCTTGGAGAAAGCTAATTTATTATGACAACTTTGTTCGGATTATAATTATAGCTATGTTGTCAGCTATTTGTCATTCATATAGGTACATGGAAAATTTTCAGCTGTTTTTCATAAAAGAAAAAGTCTTCGTGAATTCTTTGCTAATTTAAAGCAGTGTTGTGCCTTCCCCCCCTGTGGCTGTATGCTAGTAGAGTCCAGTAATATGATCATACTGTTATCCATCTAAAATTAATATCTGGGAGAAAAAACCCCAAGCAGAATATTTATTTTAATTTAGTAAAGAAATATTTAAATATTTACTACTTCACTGCTATGCATTTAAAATTAATTATATTTTCATTATTAGTCAACATGAAAGATACAAAATGATTACATTTCCAAATTCTTGTCATTAATGAATTGTCCTCAAAGTATTGCCATGACTTCAGAGGTAATGCTAGTAATTAACAAGATGCTTTAAGAATTACCATTAAGAACACAATGTTCTCTCCCAGCATGAATTATCCTTATCTAACTTACTTAAACCATTACTTAAACTGCATCTGAATCAAATAAATTCTAGAAATTATTAGTTTGCAAAATCACATTAACTGTTTCTTTCAAACAATTGTTAAGAAATATCCATTTAACATTAACCACAGAGGGCAGAAGAGATAGTTTAGTGAAGTGATTAAAGGTACTAGACTAGAAACAGGGAAAATTCATTGAATTCCTGCTTTAAGTTAAAAAAAAACCACACACATCTTTTGTGGTTCAGGGGTGGTTTTCACTTAGCTTCCCTACCGGTTTGCAAATATGTGTGCAAGCGCACTCGCTTTGCTCACGCATGCCATGTCCATGCATGCGCTCAGTCTTCTGGGCATGCGCTTTGCTCAAAAAACGTCCCTAAAAAAGACAAAATAGAGCCTGGGTAGGTGGGACCATCTGCTATTTCTGCTGCCAGTTTGGTTGAACTGGTCCAATCCAGTAGAATACCACCTCTGGGCCAGTTACTCTTGAAAAAGTTGTGCTTTTGGAGTGAAGATGTCTATCTACCATAGTTTGTAAAGATCAGTGGTTTATCTTACTCCCTTAACTTTGGTTTACACCGACTCATTATTGATAGAGTGCTTTAGATTTTTAGTATTGCAGAAAGATTAGTGTCTTTTCTTTCCTTTTCCTGTAAGGTGCTGTCCTACCATGCATCAGCTGCTGCAGAAGAAACCAGGGAGCTTCAAGTAACAGCGGTAATGTCATTTTCTTTTTTTCTCCAGTATATCTAGTCTATACGTACTGAAGATGCCTGGAATGGAGTGCATGATGTTTTTAAAACATATGTCAAACTTTTCAGGCACTTATAAATTATTCTTGCTTTTGGCTTGAAGATTCAAGATGAAGATATCTTAAAGTAGTTGGCTTTGTTAAAATTACAGTAATTTGAGCTAGGTTCAAGACAAGTTGACGCTGCCTTTGTGCATGCTCTTTTGACTCTGGAAGCTATATTCAGTCATCAACCGATTGGCAATTTAGTCTGTCTTTCTATGAATGTAGCTATCTCCTTTTAAAACTGCATCAGAACAAATTCCCAGGTTAAACTATACCATAGAAGAAAATACATTCATTTATTGCTCCTATATTTTTAAAAGTTTCAGAAGATGATCCTAAGCCCTTTTTTTCCTTGTAACAAACTGCTTCAGATCTATTCTAATGTGAAAATCCCTGCCCAATTTTATAACTTTAAAAAGAAAACAAGAAGGAAATTGGGAGCATACTTCAGATCTGATTAGCACCAGGTGAAGTAATATTTATCCCCTTGTCCTTTGCTAGGTGTAATAGCAGCTAAATTTCAAAAGAATCAGGATTAGTGTTCAGATCCAGGTCTCCCTCCAGTTAACTCCAGCTCAGGGATTAAAAAATAGATTTTTTTAATGATATAGTAGTTTTCTATAAATGCAGGGAGGAGCAGAAAACCTTCCTTCCCTCCCTCCCTCTCAGGTTTCTTGATCTAGGAACATATTGTGAAGGTTGGAAAATCAACATTTTCTAGCAGAAACGTATTTTCAGAGGGACACTCTAAATTTATAACCATGGCAGATGCAGATGCAACTTTGCTCACTAGGAAGCCATTGCATGAGAAAAGCCTACCTCAAATTTCCATTAAAATGCATTTGACATTAACTTGAACTCAAGTGTTCCCATTTTCACTGGATAACAACAATATTTGGGTGTCAGGGCTGTATTTTAAAACATAGTACCATACAATATATCTTCAATTAGGTAAAATCATTAAAACAGCATTTTGAGTATACTACTTTTGTGTGAACTATGGTATATCTGTTATATTTTAGTTTATTTTAAAAGTTCTGCAATATGCCAAAGAGGTCCATCCAGCCTACTGCTAGCCATAAGTCTTGCCAATTTTTTTGAGTCTCAGCATTTGTCCAACCAGGTCATGCGCTATCCTCAAACTGCAATGGATTGTTTTTTTGGGGGGGTGGGGGGAGTGAACTGTAAGGTATATTTGTTGCTCTACCTGACGAAGAAATAGGAAGCAAAGTTAGAACAAAGTTAGAACAAAAAAGGGATATTGTGAGTGGAAGTGTATGAATTAAATTCAACACTCTTATATTTCTTTTCTTAAATATTTAATTTGTTTTACTTAATATTTCATATTTCTTTTTTGTACTTCGAATAATGTTGTTTAAACCCAAAAAGAATAGAGTAATAGGTATGATATGTATAAACATACATAAAGCTGTAAAGTACTTATAAATATATGCAGTGGTGGATTAAGTCTCACTGGTGTCCTAAGCACTGTCAAGCCTTGGTGCCCCTCCTCCTGTGTACATACTGTACAAATCTTCATTGGTTTTTTTTTCTTTCTCAACTTTGTGGTGCCCCCTTTGGGCCTGGTGCCCTAAGCATGTGCTTAGTCTGCTTAATGGTTAATACACTATTGAATATATGCCCCGGTCGCAATAGAGGATCTGGGTAACTTGCCTGAGTTAAAAGCATAACAAATAAAACAACTAAGGGCAAATTATATAAACACTAGACCAAGAACCTGAGACCCACCACAGCATGTTCCCCTTACATCATTTCATTTCTGGATAGTTTCATTCAACATTGTTCCCTCAACATTCCCAATGCCCAGGGAGGAAAAAAACAGACTTTCAGTTCCTAAAAAAGCAGATACAATTGGAGACAGCCAGTCTGACAAATAATCTAGCATTTTGCCAGGGCTTTATAGAAAATAATTGACACTTCAAATAATTAACACGGAGAAGCCAACGGAGAGCCACTGTTTGCAAAGTAGTGGTGTTAAATGGACATACTAGAATGCACCCATTAATATCCATGTATTGTGGACGAGCATCTTCAAGGTCAGCCCTGTGTAGAAGGCATTCCTCTGCACTAATGTACCTAATGTATTTAGTATACTTAAGCACTTAAATTATTTACCTCTTTAAACTTTTTTGGTGCTTTGAAGTTCTGAAGACCCTAGAGCAGGGGTGTCAAATCAAGGTTTGTGGGCTGGATTCGGCTTGCGGGATGCTTAGGAAACAGCAAAGGACTGACCCACAATGCCTTTGCAACTGAAAATGGAATTTGGGAGGGTTGCGGGCGGCCCCCCTCAAGCTCCATTTTTGCTGGCAGAGGCATGCAGGAGGCTGAAAACAGGGCCCGGGGGACCACATGCAAACCCCCCCCCCCATGCTCCATTATCATTGGCAGAGGGCTAGCAAAACAAAACAAAAGGAGAAATGTTTCCCCTTTTGCATTTGAGCATCCAAGAATGGACAAGAAAGGAGAAAGGGAAAGAGGAAAGACAAAGAAAAATAAGGAGAGATGGGAAGAGAGCAAAGAAAAATAAGAGAGCAAGGAAAAATAAGGAAAGAGGGGAAGCAAGAAGAAAGGAGAATGAAGAGGGAGGAGGGAAGGAAGGAAGGAAGGATATTATAATGAGAGGAAGGGAGAGTCTGAGGGAATTCCTGCCTTAGTACTTGGCCACCACAGGTGCCCCTGACATGAGTGATGTTGAGCTGGCCACACCTTCTCTGGCCCCCTGATGTCAAACACAACCTTGATGCAGCCCTCAGTGAAATTGAGTTTGACACCCCTGCCCTAGAGGAATCCTTCATGGAAAAGTTATAAGAAAAAATACCAACATCACAGTATGTTTACTAACTTAATTTGGAAAGACAAAGCCTGTTTGATTTACCTCATCTTCAGAGGACCCTCTATCATCTGTCATATATCAATCCTATTAGTTATTATTAAAGCAATAAAGGGTTTTAAAAACCCTTTTAAAATTGCATTTACTGATAGCATGAAATGTCTGTAAATCAAATTCATTTCATGTTTATAGGGTTTTTCCCCCCTTTTTTTGCAAGAGAAATTAGAATATCTATATACAAACACGATAGACATTGAAAGTTAGGTAGCTATCAAGTTCACGAGTGAGTTTTTTCATTTTGTTAATAGTGAAGAATTCTGGCATTAAATTTTCTCATGTTATTGCTTAGTTAAATTTGGGAACAAATATTTACTTTTCAGGTACATAAAACTTTGCCTGAGATCTCTGACTTTTAACCAGCATGTTTTAAATATATAACTTTGAGTACAGATTCAATAAAAAACATTAGTCATCTAGTTTATAAAAGAACATTTTTGTATAAGTATTTTTAACCAAGGGCTTTTAGATATGTTAACCAGATAATGTGCCCCCTTTTGAAACATGAACTTTTCTACACCAGAAGTATATAGCTAAAATTGCACATGTGTTGGGGGCAGATTGTAATCTATACAAATTACTTTGGGACAACAATGACCTAGATGACTGAGAATCTCCATAGACATGAGAGGAACAGCTCTCTCCTGTGGTTGTTCAGAAGTAAATCCTATTTTGTAAGTAGAAAAGCTAGGTTGATTTCCTTTTTGTCAACACATACCTTACTTTCTGGGTTGGAGATCACAATTTGTCTTCTGCTAAAATGGTGCTAGAGCCAAAATGGGCTTTTGTGGTAAGTAACTAAATAATGATAACACACACACACACCTCTAAATTTGACTTCTGACTAGGAATGTTTTCAATAAATCTAGATGAATTACATCCGGTCACATGGTGCTTTGGTTTATTTATTTAGTATCTTGAAAGACAACATTTTTCATTACTGTTCTTGTTTGTTTCAAGGCTGCTGTTGTACCGTCTGCACAATCTCTCAGGCTCACTGACTTTTACTTCAGTGACTTTGAGCTGTCAGACATGGAGACTTCTCTGTGTACAATCCGGATGTTTACTGACCTTAACCTTGTACAAAATTTCCAAATAAAACACGAGGTGAGGCCACAAATATGACCATATATGTAGCCAATTATTCTGCAATACAATGTTCTTTAGTGTGCACATGTTTGTGTATATATATGTGTGTGTGCTGTATGTATATGACCGGATATTAAATTGAATAGTACTTTTTAAATCATCCATGAGGTCATGGGAAAAAATGCATTATCTGTGAAAAAATATTTTCTGTCCTTTTCATGCAAATAAGCTTCAGAGGAAGTGGAGTTTGCTAAGCTTGCTTACCATTATTACCATATTTCCCACATCCTTGTCTCCATCTACAGAAGAGAATTTTCTCTACCATTAAATTCTCCGTGCAATTTTTTAAAAATTCTGATTGTCCAGAATTCTATAATCTTGGGAAATCTGAATTGTGTCCTGCTAAGGAATTCCTGCTTTAAATGGTACCTGAATATAGAGTTAAGTATATTGTATAATGCCTGGTGAACAGATTGCAGTGAGGTATTTCCATTTTTCTATTTTAAAAATTGTCAAGTCTTTAACATATGGTGGAAAAACAAATTAGCAATTGATATCAAAGCACTTTTCCAGAATAAGCCTCCTTGCAATTAGGTAGGCCCTTGTAAAGGAATATAAGCTTTAATCAGCCTACAGTTTCTTAGACATTCACTTTTTTTAATCTTTGGATAAATATGTACATAAAGAAGGAATTTCTTATCACTTTCAAACAAAGCATTGGAGTTTTCTTCAAATAAACTAAAACCCTGTAGAATCAGCATACTTGATCAATAAGGTTGTTCTCACAACGCCTTATGTTAGTCTGTTCTTGAGATTATCAGTTCCCATATAAACCTGAGAAATAACATGCTTGGTTTAAGAAGTTGCATGTAGGTATTGCATTCATATCACCATGTATCCTAAAGCCCCTTCCATTTTACTTCCTTAATTTCAACTTTTGTAAGTTAAAATATACTTTTATAATTCAGTTCCATAAAGTGTGTATAAAAGCTAGATGTGAAATTTGTTGAAGTTTTAATATTTTAGCTTTGGGTTTTTTTTAATCTAAAAATGATGGTGTTTATTCTGTACTATACTTTTAACTCAACAATACTATTTTTGAAAGGTCCTTTGCAGATGGATTTTAAGTGTGAGGAAAAATTATCGGAAAAATGTTGCTTATCACAACTGGAGACATGCTTTTAATACAGCCCAATGCATGTTTGCTGCTTTAAAGACAGGAAAAATTCAGGTATGTTTGGATAACCTTATTTATATTAGACTGTTTTTAAAATCTTAACTAGACATTGCAACACGTTATGTTGAAACTTTACAAATAGCTAGTTCATAGACTGTAAAATCTTCATGTAAAGTATTCCTGAGCTACATTACTAAAAGAAGAAAATATTTCATAAGATTTATAGCCTATGCTGTGTTGATAACATTATTTTGATAGCTAAAAATGCAAATGATCTGCAAGCTCTAGTAATGAAAATCAAGAAGCATGGTGAAAAAAATGAGACCAAAATTAAGAACAAACCTTTGGCAACAGATATAGCAACCATCTTAGAAATTATAGCGAAGATATGGAGGTGGTGGATAGCTTCTGCCTTTTAGGATCAAACGTAACAGTAAAGGAATCAGAAGTCCAAAATATTTGTCAGAATAGCACTTGGTAGGGTAGCTTGATTGGAGTTTAACATGAAAAACATCATACACACTGGACACATTATGCAAAGATCTAGTTCTCTATTATGGACCACTCTAGAGAATGCTGGGAAAGGCCAAAGGAAAGAGACAAAGAGAATGACCAGCAGCACAAAGAATGGACTCAAATACATTCCTGATGGCTGCACCATTGGAAAGCCTGAAGAACATAATTAGGGCCAGGTCATTCTGGAGAAAATCTGCATATGTGATCAACATTAATCCAGTTGTCATTTAATCACTCAATCTATTCCTATAAGCACTGATAGTGATATCTCTGACTAGGGTTTTTTGCAGCCCTTCTACTTTAACTGCAAATATGCCATTACAAAGTCATTGATCTGCCTGTTAGGAGACACCACTCTCTAGGTCACATGTTGACAACTTTTTGGTAACCAGGTTCTAAAACTTCTAAGATGGTCAATCTAGGGTCATCCATCTAAGCAAAACCCAGACTCTTTCCCCCCCTGAATTTTTGAGGAGTGAGAAGCTTATTGTTTCTATTTTATGGTTTCTTTGATTCCTATAAACTCATGATTGAGACACTTGAATTACCCAGCCACAATGTCTTCTATAATTCTTTGTCAGTTGGCCTTGCTTTTTGAAAACATCAAGGCCTTCTCTTGCCTTTATATTATTTTTCCAAAATAGTTTAGATCAGTGGTTCTCAACCTTCCCAATGCCGCAACCCTTTAATACAGTTCCTCATGTTGTGGTGACCTCCAACCATAAAACTGGTGTCTCGGTTCCTAAGACTATTGAAAATATGTGTTTTCCAATGGTCTTAGGCGACACCTGTGAAAGGGTCATTCGACCCCCAAAGGGGTCCCACCCTACAGGTTGAAAACCACTGGTTTAGATTATCAGTGCTTTCAAAAAGCAGCCTGGTTTTACTGTATCTAATACTGTGTGATTTGTTCTTCTCGCTGTCCAAGCAACTCTCAGTCATTTCCTCCAGCACTACAGTTCAAAGATTTTGTAGAGTTGAAATTAGTTTTCCTTTATTTATTTTCATCAATGTAAACATACTTAGGACTTACAAAAATTGCCTCAAAATGGGAGGTAGCTATGCTGCAGTTTTTCAATAGTTGCCATGAAACTCCATGCTGCCAGTTCATGTTACCCTGAAGGCTTTAGATTGCCTGTTTAAAATGTGTAAATTTGTCTTTAGGTTCCAGATGGTTACTATGATATCTCTTGCTTTATTCTAAAAATATTAGATATTTACATTGCATGTGGAATGCTGTTCAGCTTGTGATTAAGCAAACAAGTAGAAATCCTCATGCAGAGAATATAACTCAACTCTTCATGGAATTAGAAACCTGTGGAACAAGTACACATTAAGAGATCCTAAAGCAAATCAAAGTTCTCTATTAGTCAAATTCTGGAAACTTTGCTGTTTGGATTTTGCTGTACTGCAAATTTGGCCCAGGTGACTTTGGGCCTAGGTTTGCATAATTAAGAGTAGAAAATGAACATGGTATGACAAACTATTGCTTTGCATAGTTTATTTTAAAAATTATTGGTTGGATTTGTAGCAAATAACAAAATTTTATACCATACAAAATTGGATAATTATTATTTAGGGGCCAAATCTATTCAGAATTCTGTGTTATTTGTAATGTACATTTAAGATTAATTTTACTCAACCAAAATAGCTAGCCATATATATATATATATATATATCTTATTTATTTTCAGTTTAGGAGCGAGTGTCAAAATGTATAGATATGAAACAGCCAAAGGAAGAAAGAAAGAAAAAAATACCATGTCAAGTATTTTTGCAAATATAGTAATTTATCTCTCCTTCATGTTGTACAGAACCAACTTACTGATGTTGAGGTACTTTCTTTGCTGATTGCAGCTCTGAGCCATGATTTAGATCACAGGGGGGTGAATAATTCTTACATACAGAGGTGAGTAAATGGCAGGTAAAAGGAAAGAATATTGCAGGTTGATGTTTCTATTTTTCATTTTGAATTAACATTTCAGCCATAATATTTACAAAAGTTTTAGCTAGAGAGATTGTGGAACCTTCTCTCAGAGTGTTCAGGGATTCTGAGTATGTATTTGTCAAGGTTGCTTTAAACCAAAAGCAGGAAAAGTTTTGGTGTCCAAGAGCCAGGTTTTGGGTTATGAGAACTGCAATTATTTTGGGCTATAGCAGAAGAATTATGCAAAGTAGATGTGATGATAGATCATGTAAAGCATTAGGGGTTCCTATAGTTGGAACAAGAGTTTTTGGAGGTTTTATGTTTTGGATGTGTGGGTTGTTCTTTACTTTTTAAAAACAAATAAAAATACAAAAAATATACATAACAACAAATCTTGGTATTTTTTCCACAAGCCATTTGATAGCAATATCTTGGTGGCACAAAGGGAAAGAAGAATCAAACTAAGTAGACTTCTCAGTGGTTTCCAGTACAATTCCTCCCTTCAGGAATCCTTCCAATGGGACAATTGGTTATATTGAATCTGAGGCAAGAGAAAGGAAAGAAACCAGCCTATGGGCTTCAGGAGGTCTTTTGACTCCCTTCATCTTTTTCCACAGTCAATTGGTGGCAATTGGTCTCAGATGGTATAGGGCGGGTAACTATTAGTAAAGTTCAGTGACAATTGCTTTTGTTTTGGTCATAAAATAATATCTTCTAAAATATTATACCTTTATAGATTATTATTAAGGGACACGGTGGCTCAGTGGCTAAGACACTAAGCTTGTCGATCAGAAAGGTTGATGGTTTGAATCCCTAGTGCTGCGTAACGGAGTGAGCTCCCGTTACTTGTCCCAGCTTCTGCCAACCTAGCAGTTGGAAAGCATGTAAAAATGCAAGTAGAAAAATAGGAACCACCCTTGGTGGGAAGGTAACCGCTTTCTGTGCACCTTCGGCGTTTAGTCATGACCACGTAGATGTCTTCAGACAGTGTTGGCTCTTTGGCTCTGAAACTAGTCATTGAGGACTAGCACATATGTGTGAGGGGAACCTTTACCTTTATCTTATGGATTATTATAACAATATGTTCTCTCCCTCCCCCTTCCTATGCACATACATACATAATGGCCAATATTAATAGTATGCCTTTTAGAATTTTCTGTAAAAATGAAGTATTATTGTTCTGTCCCAAGCCTCTACAATATATATGGAGGCAGACTTGGCTGTCTGCCCCAACTAAGGAGGGAGATAAGCAATCCCTTGGCTGGGAGCCCAGAAAGCTATCTCTATGAAACAAGGCTTGAACTCACAAAATTCTACCAATCTTTCTCTACGGCTGGATCAGTAAATTGTTGTTTCCTGAAAAATTCCCCTCCTGTCGCCCCACCTATAAGCTCTCCGGGAGGGGCCAAACAGTAGCCACCTGTTCCTATTTCCTTCTGTGACCCTTTTTCCAAAGCTGCTCCCTCCTCCTCGCAGCCCAATGCATACATATCTCCAGGACAGCCTCCCTCTGTTCTTCCTCACTGCTCCCTGACTCAGATGCCACCTGATGGCCAACAGGCCTCTCCAGTTCTTGCTGTGACTCCAAACACTCCCCAGAGTCTTCCTCAGCCTCCAGGGCAATCCCATAGTGTTCATCGCTGTCAGATTCCACTAACAGCTCAGCCGGCCGCTGTTGGGCCACAACAATAATGATAGAAAGAACACTAATCACTGTATGAGGGAAAAAGTTTCATCCTATTTCTCTGTCTCTGTTCCTCTTTCATGGGTATCTTTCAAGGTTAGGAAAGCTTTCTATTTACGAAAATGTTTGGAAGTTTGCAAGACATATTATCTTTTTATAGCATTTTATTTTTAAAAAACATAATGAATATGTTGTAAAAATGTTTCCAGGGATATTTTTAAAGGCCCCAGATTAGTACAAATAAATCAAAATAAAGATCAGTGTCTTTATGGGAACCAGAAAACTGAGGTTACTTGCCTCAAAATTATTTTCTTAGAAATATTTTTTTATAAAAAAGTGAAAGCAAAGTAGAGTGCTAACTTACAATAAAACTTTATAATAAAGAAATCTGGAATGGATTTTTATTTGAAATATCTATGTATTTGTAGATATAAGGTTCTCCTCTTCTCCCAATCCCATTTCTAAGAAAATCGAGTAGATAAGAATGAGTTTGCCATAATCCTTTCTGTTTGACTTCCTCCAGATGTATCGGGATATCTCCCAGAATTTCATCTATCAGCAATAGGAATTCATGAGAGTTGTTGTCTTAATGCATTCAGAGAGCATTGTAGACAGATTTATTGGATCATATCTCAATGTACTTCTTGCCAAGGAGTTAATAAACTACAGAGATCTGTCAAAAATCCCTGATAGGATTGCAAAAAAACCCTGATGGATAAGAACTATGAACATCTTTATATCATGGACCTTTTCTAATAATAAAAACATAGTTATGTGTTGTGGCCCAGCAGGAGCCGTTGGAGCTGTCACCAGACTCCGACAGCGAGGGGCCCTATGAGTCGGCTCTGGAGGATGTGGAGGACCCTGGACAGGGTTCTGACTCCGAGCAGGGCTCAGAGAGGCTGGTTGGCCACCAGGAGGCCTGAGCCTTGGACCAGTGGGGAGGAGACAAGGGAGTGTGATCCTGATGTCATGTATTGGAGCAGTGGGGAGGAGACAAGGGAGTTGGTCCTGGATGCCCGGCAACGGAGAGCTAATAGGCGTAAGGAACAGTTACGCAGTTACAGGAGATAATTGCACTCAGCTGGTGGTAATTAGGCTTCTCTCAAGGAATGATTGTGCACACGCTCGTTGCAGGAGTCAACATATTTACTAGAGCTGGAGAACTCTTGTGGCTAGCTTGGCAGGCTGGATTGCTGCCAAGGTTAGTCTGTGCTGGATTGCTGCCAAGGTCTGGTCTGTGCTGGATTGCTGGCAAGGTCTTGTCTGTGTGTTAATAAATCCTTGAAGTATCTTTGTCTAGGCGTGCTTTGGTGTAGGACGAGGGGGGTCAGAACAGTTATGAATATGAAGCTATTCTAGAGCATTATTTATGCAGACTTATCCTATGTATTCCCCTTTCTGTTCATATATATGGGGATTTTATCAGCCTTGTTAGGCAATGTAGAATACAGGATGGTTTTTTTCTTCTCAGCCAGGTCAAATAAGGGAAAAGTAATATCGTAGCATATCTTATTACTTGTCCAACTTTTTATACTTGGATATTTTTCATTTGTGCAACACACAATCACCCTTCATTTCCTTTCCCCTCTCTTCTCTCACTGTGATGTTCAAATTAATTGGAGACTGAATCTTGAAGGATTCTGTATTCTAAAAAGTATATTTTAGACTTCATTTTCCTAGTCATCTGTTTAGTTACAGAATTGTCATTTTACATGTGTATGTATCTCAGGATGAATAAGATTTTGTTTTCTTTCAGCCACATTCCATAATTATTATAAATGGTAGTGGTGGCGATGTTATTTTCTATATCCTTAGCTTTGTAAAGCTATTGTGCATCTGTAGTTAATTCCTTTTGATAATTCTATGTGGCCTGTTTTTTTTTCCAGAAGCGAGCACCCTCTTGCACAGCTTTATTGCCACTCAATAATGGAACATCATCATTTTGATCAGTGCCTGATGATCCTAAACACACCGGTAAATGGTAGTTGTGTTTACAAGAAAAGCATGTCCAATTTAGTCTTTGAACAATTTCCAGTAGTATCTTCCAATCCTATTCTAAGCTGTGCTACTGAGCTTTTCCAATGCTGCCTGATAAGCTTGTTAATATTTTGATAACTCACACTAACTTGACCCTAATGAAAAAAGAAAAAAATGCTTAAGAATTCTGCTTAATCTTTCTAAGGAACCTTAAGCACTCTTGGTATTAGCAAGATTTCCAACCTTGTGGAAGCAGTGAGCTAAAGGCAAGACTTGTGCATCATTTTTTTATTCTCTCTAGTGAACTTTGATAATGACCAAACAAGAAGTTAAAAAATACTTTCAGCTCAGTATTAAACTCTTATTCCTTCTGTTACTTTTGTTTCCATGTTTTTATCAGTTGAAAATTCTCTTAATTTCACTTACAAGCTTAAAGACAGATATCTGGAAAAAGATGTTTATACATAAGCTAAAAGGTTACACACATTGCAAAATGACAGTGAAATTATATCAGCAGAACATATTTAAATAATGCATCTTTGTTCGTGAAGCTGTGCCAGGTTCTGCAGGAATTTGGAACAGCATAAAGATTTGGTAGAGCACAAAGAGACAATTAATGTCAGCCAAATTCTATTCCTTGTAATTGAACTGTGCATTTTCTCTGCTAACTTCTGTACAGGAATAAGGTAGGGCAATGAAATATGAATATTTAATAACAGGGGTGGGTTCCTGCCAGTTCTAACCTCTTCTATAGAAGAGGATCCACAAATCTACTGTGCCGTTTAGAACTGGTTCCAGCTCCCTCCCCCCGCCTGACCGCACCATACTTGCCCCACCTGCCGTTCACTGATTGGCTGGCTCACCAATTGCCCCGCCCGCCTCTAAGAGTCCTATCTATACCTTAAAGTCTTAAAGCTATCAAGTTTGAACATCCCTGGGGTTTTTTTTCTAAAGGTTAGGGGTGCAAGGGTCTTGTAACTTGACAGCTTTAAGACTTGCACACTTCAATGCCAGAATTCCTGAGTCAACATGACTGGAGGAGGAATTCTGGGAGTTGAAGTCCACAAGTCTTAAAGCTGTCAAGTTTGAATACCCCTGGGATTTTTTTTCTAAATGGTTAGGGGTGCAAGGGTCTTGTAACTTGACAGCTTTAAGACTTGCATGCTTCAAATGCCAGAGTTTCTGAGCCAACATTTTGGTTGCTAAGAAAGAGCAGTATTAAGTGAGTTTCTCCACATTTTACAAGTTGGCCACGGCCACCCAGTCACATTACTGCCAAGCCACTCCCACCCGGTCACATGGCCAACAAGCCACTCCCACCCAGTCACATGGTTGGCAAGCCACTCCCACAAAGCAGGTCATACCTACAGAAGAGGTTCTAAAAAAATTTGAAACCCACCACTGAGGTATAGGTGTACATAAAGTTCTGTTTCATCTTCTCCACTTCTATTTTTGGCAGAAGAAAGTGGTAGCTGGAATAATTTCATCTTTTTTTCTCAGAAAATTTACAACAGTGTGTGTGTGTGTTATTGTTGATACTGCATGTGTCAGTGTCAGCAGTGTGCACAAAAATATAGATTAAAAAAAGCTTTTTTTAGGGATTGGTGAGGAAAACTCAGTAGTAGCTGCTTACATTTTTTCAGCTGAATAGTTCAAAAAAAATTAAAAAAAATATTTTCTTAGGGTCTTTACCTAGTTATGTTTTCTTCTTTCTCAATTTTAATAACTGGGTTTTAAAAAATTCAATATTTTTGCTTTCAGTGTAGAAGAAAATAATGTAGTATGTAGAATTTAACAAGATTCTGTTAAAGTTACTGTATTCTTATAGTCAGTGCATTCTTGTCGTAAATGTTCCATTGTTTTCTTTTGGACCAAGGGCAATCAGATTCTCAGTGGTCTTTCTGTTGAAGAATACAAGGCAACATTGAAAATCATCAAGCAAGCTATTCTTGCCACAGATTTAGCACTATACATAAAGTAAGTTGCAGTTATGGTATTACAATTAGACTTTCTGGTTGGATATGTAGTTTTTTTCCTCTCTTTTTTAAGAATGTAAAATTGTACTAATTTTCCTTTTCAGGCATTTAATAATTTTTATTTAAATTTTGTATGCTTTTCAGAAGAAGAGGAGAGTTTTTTGACCTCCTGCGGAATAATCAGTTTAACCTACAAGACCTTTATCAAAAGGAATTATTTTTGTAAGTTTTTTAAAGAACATTATTGTCGTCTAGTTTGATTTTTTTTCCTTTAGTCAGCAATGATTGGCTTGCTTTCATTGGGTGACTGGGCTGGACAGAATAAAAATTACATGAATATGGGTGAATTATTTGCTTCTAATTATTTGGTAAGGTTTCATATTATTTGCTAAACAAGATTATTTCCCAACATGATTTGACAAAACACCATATTGTTCTTTGAGTGAAAGTCTATTGTTTAAAAGCACTAATCTGTTAAAATTGGTTTTCTTAGCTTTCAGGAAAAAAATTTTTTTGCTTTGCATCAGAGTAGTTAGTTTACATTTATAACAGGAAATTAGTCCTTCAGCAAGAATCAAAGATTCATTATGGATATAGGAGATTTTTGCTTTACAGTACACTGTATATAAAAACCGGGGATGGTTTCTATGCTCTTATATGTGTGGCCTGATGGGAGCTGTGACCTTCTCAGTTAGTACTGACCGATCAACATATCAGGAGCTTTTGCAACATATTATCTTGCTTGTTAATACTGGTGATAAATGAGCTGTCACAAATAGCCATTGAGGATAAAGATCTGGCCACAGGCTAAGTCTGTAAATTGTATAGAACACTGAACCTGAGTGTTTCCTCAAATTTTTTTCTTTTTTAATGGGACAAAGTTTTATAGCAGCCCAGCATTGGTAGCAGCAGTTATTCTTAATTGTATAAGTCATCAAAAGGGAAAGAATTTTGCTTTTCATGAATTATATGAGACAGATAAGCAAAGAAATGTGTGATCTACAGTGACATATAATTATGTAAATCGGTGACTGTAATGGTCTGGGCTAGATGTAGAACATTCATGAATGCTTTAAGCATGGACTATGTTATGGAGAAAGTTTCCAGCTATGTTCCTAAGAACAAGTCCCCTATGAATCCAGTCACCTCTCGCTGCATGCTGGCTGGGGAAATCTGGGAGTTGAAGCCTAAGGTGGAGAATCACTCACTATGCTCTTCAAATATGAACTAGGGATGGCCACTTAACACAGCAATCTATGATAGTGAGAGAGAAAGAAAATACATTGTAGGAAAAATGACATAGGACTTTGAAAAAGAACTATGCCCTCCTTTTAATATTATAAGTCCCACCATAATACATATTATCATTTGCAGCCATTCAAGTCATAACAAGCGTGTATGTTTCCAAAGTTTTGTTTTATTTTTTCAATGAAATTTAGGGTATCACAAATATCCTTATTTTTCTACAGAAGTGGAAATGCTTTTCAAAATATATACTGTAAAAGCATGGCTTTGTGGTTTTTATAGGGCAATGCTGATGACTGCATGTGACTTATCGGCAATAACAAAACCATGGCCAGTTCAGCAGCGGGTAAGTATCTACCAAAAGCCTGATCAGATTCCTTATTTCCCTGAACATACTGTTCCTGCTATTTCTCCCATCTGAACCCACTGTGCATTTGGCAGAGATATTAATTGCTGCCTAGCAAATTATTGTACAAACTGACATTGCAATGAAATGTGACACATTAAAATCAGGGTAAAAATTCTTAGAAAGGCAGCATTAAAAATATTGCATAATTTCTCTCTTTCTCTTTTTTTCTCTCCTCCCCCTTTCCCTCCTCTCTCTTTTTATTTATAATATGCCCATTTGTTTTAGAGTTATAGGTGACTTATTAAGTTTGCCCCTTAATTTTAAACCAGAAAACCCTAGTGTGCCATTGGAGTTCAGAGAAAGTGGCTAGTAAGATTCAGGAAGCTCCATAATCATATGGAGACATGAATGTAGTTCTAACACCAATATCTTAACTACTATGCTATACTAGATAGAAAGATCATCATCTATTGCTTACATTTACTGAAAAAGACAGCGGATATAAATTTTCCTTCATGCAGATTGCTGAACTTGTAGCTGCAGAATTCTTTGACCAAGGAGATAAAGAAAGAAAAGAACTTAACATTGAACCAACAGTAAGTAGAAGCACAACATTTTAAGATTGTTTTGTTCTAGAAATTTATTTTAAGCAGCATTTTTATTATTTCATTCAGAATCAAATATTTTTATCAAATGTAGTTAGAATTCTTGTCCTTTACCAATAAAGGACAATATTTGAAGCTCAGGTTTGAAATGAAGGGTTAAAATGAAGGGTTGAACTGAGGGGTTGAAAAGAGCATTGATGATGTTATCATTGGGTAATTAAACATCTGCAAGGAAACAACCAAGCTCAGAGAGCATTAAGGACCCCTCCTTTTCCTTTATTGCAACACGATCAGCTTATTACTGAAACCTGAAATGTCTAAAAGTTTCTAAACAACCTTAACAACAAAACCGCAAGATTTCAACTTTTTGTGTGTATGTGCCAAACAGTGATCACCATCATGTTTCAAACTAGCATTTATGGGGGTCAATGATGTTCATTTGAGATATACATAAACTTCATTTGATTTCTCAGTGGTTGATTATTTAGAACTGAGAGCCTGTAATTAAATATACAGTATGTTCCATCTCCCTTGAAAAATTGCCGTGTAAAGAAAACCTGAATCTCTGATATTGAATTTGTGCTGTATTTTCTGTAGGATGTAACTAGCCATTTCATACTGCAATTGTAAAATTAGGTAGCATGTACGTAGAACGAACTTGAAAATAAGAGTTATGACTTAGCTAGCATTTTCAAGATTTATGCTTTCCAAAGAATATGCTCTATATGCTCTTTCCTGACATTAAAGAAAGTCACCAGAATTATTGAGTTATTATAATGAGAATACGCTGAGACAGAGCGTTGATTTGAAATGTATTTTCTATAAAAGGGATATA